AAGCTTTTCCTTAGTTTGCCCATGTTCCAGGAGAAATTTGATAGTCGGCCTGCTTTCGAGGCCAAATGTGGGAGTCAGATTCAGATAAGCCACAATTGTTGATTTCTTCAGGCAAACTGCTTTTTTTTGTCAACCTTGAGTTCTGCTGGTACTTTCGATACAAAATAGCCAGATTTGTGGGTATTCCACTGGTCTGTGCTATGAACTGCCTTCAAGGTCGTCTCCAACATGCTGGCGAGTCCTAGAAGCCGCAGGTGGCCTGCGATTCGCACAAATCCCTTACATCTTACGGTTTAGCTCGTAAATCAGCTGATTTTGAGTACTCGTAGCACAAACCAAACCTTCAAGGCAGGCGGCCTGACGAGGGCCAAATCAGCTGCAGCCGTCTTCTTTGTTTGTTGATAAACCAGGAACAAGCCGATTACAAAAAGCAGGAAACCTGTTATCATAAATCCAATTATACATGTCTTTGGCGTCCTCCTGAGACAAAACGGAAAGACACATCAGCTCCTACATCCATAACGTATCCTGCAGTGTGAGTCTCAGCGGGACATGAGGGCTCTCCGGGACCCTGTCGCTTTGTTGAAAAGATTTTGTTGATTGCGTTTAAAGTCCAGCTCACCAGCTCCTTAATAGTATTTTTCGTTTGAAAGATGTGTAACAGGACTGTGATGGACTTGCGACCTGTCCAGGGTGTACCCCCGCCCCTCGCACAATGATTGCCGGACATGGACACCGGCGACCCCTGTGACCCAAAATGGAAGAAGCGGGTAAAAGATAATGGATGGATGGATGAAGATGTGTAACAGGAGCTTCGAGAAACAGACAGTGAGAAAAAAAGTAGGAGGAAGAGGAGAACAGGGGAGGGAGAGAAAAGGCATCCGCCTTGTGTGAGAGCGAGCGCATAAGACTTTTATCCAAAAGACCTTTTTCTGAACTATTATGGCCTTGGTGTCCTCAGGCTGTTTCTGTGAGTAGTAAGTTGGCCAGCTGGCCTAAAACATTTGACTGTCATGATGATTGTTTGGGACTGATGGTCCTTTTTTGCATGTGTTAAAGCTAGTTTCTTGGACTTCAACAGGAAGATGGCTTGAAACACGTCAGTGAGGTGCTATTTATAAAACAGATCTGGGTTGGCAGGCCTCAGACTGATGAAGTCTTTTGGATGAAAGATGAAATGTTTCTTCCAAACAGAAACTGTCCAGATGGCATGATTTAAGCAGTTTTTTGTGATTTATCTACCTGGACGATTGAGCTTTTCAAACCTTTTATATCTGATTTGATTTTTAAGGAGATCTTGTATATTTACAGAAGCTTTTGAAAAATGCAAAATGGGGCAGAACCCAACAATCAGAGACTAACGAAAAATAAAAAGAATTTCATAAAGATCACTGCATTTTACATTTTTGTACACACGTTGTCTACAGCTTGGGTGCAGCTTTATGGTCTGAAAATGTTTTTTTTTAATTAAAAAAACAATCTGTCTGTTTGCTATGAAAGTTTAACGTCTGAGAATGCTGTTTCTGTGCTGCTGCTGTTTGTGACGATAACGCTCAGTCTGTGTGTTGTAAATATGTGAAATATTGTGTATTTTCAGTGGATGATTTTGTGTACACACGTGTAAATACATTTATCTTTCTTGTACAATCAGTCAAGAAGTTGGGTTCGTCTACGTGTTCTGGTGAAAAGGCGTAACGTCACGTGTCACGTCTGTGAAGTTTTCATGTTTCATTTTTATGTGCAGCGAGAAGTTTTGTAAATTGAGATTAAAACAGTGGACATCACGATGGACAGAGGCTGGTTCATTTTAAAGACACCCAAGGAGTCGGTCTTTCGAACGTTCCGTTTTGTCCAAAATAAAGATCTTCAAACACCTTTAATGTTTGCAACATTTCAAAAATACAGATATGAGGTGATGCATATTTGATAGTTATAAGTAGTGTAAATATCTGTGACGCATCTTGTTTTACTCCAGAACTGTTTGTTTAAAACATCTAACTAAACTCAGACAAGCGCATCCAAAACAAACGGAGTGCCGTCTGTCATTTTCCTTTTGTTCCTTCACTTTTTTAAGAACGAAAAATGGTAAATAGGCCCAAAAAATGCACAGAAGATGACCTAAAGTTTGCATTTTTTTTATATGTACAACTAGTAAAAGTATAAAAAGTTCAAGTATTTCCAAAGAACACGTAGCCTGAGTTTGTTTGTTGCTTCTAAATGAAAAAAAAAAAAGTATTTAGCTAAAACTTTATTCCACCTGTCGTGTCGATGCCAGGTCATAAAATCATCGACAGTCAGGAGGAGAATATAGAGGTACAGTAGTTCCTCGCTTTTTCGCGCTTCATTAAACGCGGACTTGATCTATCGCGGTATTTCAAAATAAGATCGGACATGACACACAAGCGGCTGGTTGATGTATGAGACGCACGATCGGCACGGAATTTTTATTTAAAATTAATAATTTTAAATTATTTAACACCTGCTGCACCTTTGTGCAGCCCACAGCTGCAGGATAAACTTCCTGCTGCAGCTGATCAGCTGTTCACTGTGCAGAACGAAGAAGTGGGCGTGGCCAAGAGCACGTGCAGGTGGCAAAGAGCAGAGGAGGCAGGGAGCTGAAATCATGACATTCTGTGCTCTTTTAGAGCGTTTAGAAATATATATGTATATATATATACTTACTACTTATACTACTATTCCTACTTTGCGGTTTTTCACTTATCTTGGGGCTTCAGGGTACGGATCCCCTGCGATAAACGAGGGACTACTGTACAGTGACTAGTTTGAAGAAATTTAATTTGACTGTCATTCAAGAGGGCTTTTTGCAGTTATCTTTATAAATGACTCAATTTATATCAACCATGACTGACTTATCACAGCAACAAAAGCGTAAAACATCTGCAGGGTGAATACTTTTTACAGGCACTGTATTAATATTTACACAACTTATTAAAATCTAAATACGTACATCTGTGTGCAGCTCATTATACCAGTTTAAATAAACACAAACCAACGTGAAAGAAGTGATCAGCCACCAACAGTTGAAACATTGCCTTTTACACTTCTGTTAAATCACTTGCTAGAAAAAAAAGAACAAAATTACAAATGCATGGAGTCCAAACTGACTGACCTAAAGAGATGGATCAGTTAGACTAAAAGAGGCACTTCAACTGAAACCTAATGAAAGTTTCTGCATCCAGAGGAATAAAAGATGCCGACACGTCCGGGGTTTGCTCTTGTCCGTTCCGTGCGTTTATAAAACATGTTTTCTGCTGCTCAATCTGCACAATGTTGTTTTAAAATTCACGTTATCTTCTCTGACACTGATGGCTTCAGACGTGAGAAACAGGATTAAACTTCTCACTGTTTCGGGGTTTTCTCTGCCCAGATTCCTCACACCATCTAACACAAGTATGGATGTGACTTGATAACAAAATACTTTAATCAAACTGACCCTATCGTTAATATTTGCAAGAACATCTGAAGTTTTTTTTTCAGATCTGTGTTTTTTTTTAGTCCACCTTCTGACAGTGAGGTAGAGCTCCTGCTATAGCTGCTCCTCTGCCGTCTGGACAGCCGTCTGGTCTTGTGGTGAGTAGAGCGCGCTGAACTGGACCTGGTGAACACTGATCATCTTTTTCACATGGGGGGTGATCATAGTCCGTAAACAGTGAAGTCTCACCAGGCCTGACTGACCCCCGGATACAAGCCACACGTGGCTGCTCATGTTCGGGTTGAAACGAACCTGAAAGAAAAGGGTATCACAATTTTTATTTCCATGAAAGGTGAGCTCGTTTTCAGAGAGGACGAACTCCAGATGACCTCTACGATCGTAACTTCATACACCAAGGGAGGAAGCTGAAAGGTAATTTAGAAGTTAGCTGGTGTTATTCGGAGATATCGGTGCTCGTTTCCAACCTGGACGCTGAATTTGATCAAGATCATGATGATGTTTCACAAATGAATGAGATATATAAAAAAAAAACACTTTCAATCAGATTTACTCTGTCAAAGCCAAAACATAAAGCACCAACATAATGTTTCCTTAACGTGAGAGCTTTGTTTAAAATGTGAGGCTCGTTTAATCTTTTAGCTCCTTTTCTGATAAGATACAAAAGCAGTCTCCATAACTACTATACCTCTAACTTAAAGCAAAATAGGTGGCCCTGCGGTGTGAATTAACGTTTCAAAAAACAGAATTACATTAAGCCAAAGTGGAAGCGGTCGGAATCACATTTGAAAAACAAACAAACAAAAAAACAGAATTACATTAAAAAAAAAGGAAAGAAAGAAATTCAATTTGAAAAAAAAACAAAAAATAAAATAAAATGGAATTACATTTGAAAAAAACCAATTATTCAAAAATGATATAATTTCTGTTTTTTCTAATGTAATTCCATCAATTATCTTTTACCCGCTTCTTCATTTTGGGTCATGGGGGTCGCCGCTGCCCATGTCCAGCGGTCACTGTGCGAGGGGTGGGGGACACCCTGGACAGGTCCATCACAGGGACACATCGAGACAAACGAGACAAACAATCATTCACTCTCTCACCTAGGGACAATTTAGAGTTACCAATCAGCCTAACATGCATGTTTTTGGTCTGTGAGAGGAAACCGGAGTACCCGGAGAAAACCCACGCATGCACGGAGAGAACATGCAAACTCCACATAGAAAGGCCCCCTGGACCGGGATTTGAACCGGCAACCTTCTCGTTGAGAGGCAGCAGCTCTACCAGTTGCACCACCGTGCTGCCCAATGTAATTCCGTTTTTTCACATGTTGTTCATTTCCACCTTAGGGCCACCGTAGTATTGTTTTCCTTAAGCACAAAGACGAACGAGTCATCAGCAAAGCGTGATTTTCTGTAACCTGCTGTGGCTCTGAATGACTCAGCTGTCACTCTCAGAGTCGATCAGACAGTTCCCTTCTTTTCTTCTTAAAGGAGCTCGTCATCACTGTAAATCCTCCTGGTGTTTGTCCTTCCCTGCTTTGTTTCTGACTCCCTCTCCTTCCTGCTCTAGATCCATAAACCAGCAAAAATCACAAAGGTGTTTTGTCCGAGTTTGTCCCATGAAGCTCCATCATTTCACCCCAAAGGGCAAAGCGACTCCCTCAGCTCTGCCTCTTAAAATTAAACACATAATATCCTCAAATGGCTGCTTTCCATCTCCTTGTCCTTCCTCCCACTGACGGTGACGCTCTTCTCATTTCCCACATCATTACATTTGGTCAGACTTTACAGCCGCCCATCAAAAAGTCACATCTCGCCTCTGCCTGATTTTTATCCTATGCTGCTGAACGAGTCTGAAAATGCCTAAAATGTTTAACGAGGTTGAGTCAGGTCTTCTGGACGGATTCTTCTTCGTTCAGAGGACCTAACCTCGTTAGATTTACCTACCTGGATTATTGAGCATACACAATAACGTATTTGAGTTAATATGTACCTTATGTAACGCAGTCAAAGACTTTTCTTCCATATTTGGGATTTCTGTTGTTTCTGTCCGCTGCATCTGTTTCCACAAAGTCCTCTTCCCCAGTCCAACAAGCGTCCGCTGGAAGTCAGAGCAGATGCTTATTAGAAAGAAGGTAAAAAATACAAAAGTTTTACTCTAAACACAAAGAGGATCGAAATCAAAGTTTCAGAGGATTAGCAAAATAAGAAAACAGATGCATGTTTACATCCAAAACAACAAGAAGCTTAGATTAGAAGATTCCAATCATTATAAACGAGCGAGAACCTACCATGTTGAAGTCTGAATATTGCAGGTAGTATTTCTCTACAGCCTCTTTGTAGGTCTGAAACTGTCCCTGAGGACTCGTTTCATTTTCAACACTTCCTGCCTCCTCCTCGTTTCCTCCTTCAGTCGCAGCATCTGCTTTTTCTGTCTCTCCTCCTTCCTGTCCTTCGTCAACATGCCCTTCTGCTTCAGCATCTTGCATCTCTTCAGGTTCTACCTCTGCTGCGTCACAACGTACCTTAGACGTGACGTAGGCAGGCTGAGAAGAAGCACAGGTTAGTAAAAAAGGCTGTTAGTGAGTCAGTTTTATTTAGAAATGTCCCATCAGGTAGGGTTGGGGAAAAAAAGGGGGATTTAGAAACATTTGTTTGACTTACAAAACGTCTCAGTGATATTCGTTTGACGTTGTGAATGGAGGAGTTGAGCGGAGGTAGCATGACCAGAATGACCTCACCGAGCAAGTCCGCCGTCAACGCGCAGTTCAACCACTCAGAGTAAGAAATGGACTGCAGGGACACGAAATACAGTCCAATAAATGCACAAACCACAACTAAAGTGAGCGCCTTCCTGCAAGATATCATTTATGACAATAGCTGCTCAGTGTGAGATATTATGTTTTTATTGGTCAATAATGGCATTAGATAAGCAGGGGTGGAAGTAATGAATTGCAAATACATTACAGTAATTAAGTAGCTTTTTTGGGGTACTTGTACTTTTACGAGTATTCCTTTCAAGTGTGTATTTTTACTCATACTTAAGTACAATTTAGACCATGTAATCTACTTTGCTACTTTTAAAATCAGAAGTCGCTACAGAGTACAGCCGAAATTTGAATTAATATTCAAACCGTTCATCTGCATCTTTGTAGCCAATAAGGTTCTCAGATCGAGAACGCACCAGTTACCTATGACGTCAGCAAAGGACAACTCCGTAAAGTCATTCATGGACCGAAGATTTGGAGAAAAAGCCCAAATGGAGACAGAGGACACTGTCAACAGAGAAAATGACGATGGTACTTTGTACTTTTACTTAAGTATTTTTTATAACACCAGTACTTGTAATTGAGTACAATTCAAGCAGCGTAACAGTACTTGTACTTGAGTACAAATTTTCAGTAATCTGCCCACCTCTCTTGATAAGTATCTTGATGCTTAATTAAAAAAATTCAGCTGTATATTATAATTTTGAACTAGATTAAAGCTCTCGTAAGCTGCTTGACCTTCATTTTAAAGCCTTGCCTTTAACAGAAACAGTTCAGTGCGGCAGAACGGTGCACGTAAGAGGAAAACTTCAAAAAATGTTCTTAAAATTAAACAAAGTGCCGAGTCATGTTTGTAACAGCACACACGACTCAAAGCAGAAAAAAGTAGCAACATAAAACAAGTATGATACGAAAACCATAAAAACAGAAAAAATATATATTTTTTACACTAAATATTCAACACTGATAGAAATTTCTCTCGAAAAATGTGAAAGTAACGAGTTTTAACCACACGCCTAAAACTTTTAGTGGAGCGTTTAGTGTTTTTTGCATGTTTTTGTGATAAATTTTCTTATTTCAGGTGTGATTTTACTCACATTTGTCCCTTTCTTGTCATCTAAGAATCATTTTATGAATCACCTTTACCTTACTCATTTGTAAAGCACTGATTTATCAGTAAACTAAAACTTCGTGGCTAAAATCCTGAAAAGTTCATTTGACAGTGACGGATCTTCGTGGGACGCGACGAGCATCACTCACCCACACGGGCGTGCTCCGAGGAACTGCGAAGAACGCGTTCATGTTGTGGTCTAAGAAATGAACTCCCAGTGACGTGGTACTACACAGAAAAACAAGCACACGTGAAAAGATTCAGACCTGTGGTAATTTTAACAACATTAATTTAAAACATTTCCTTTGTACAGGCAGGAACAATAGACCTCACTCTTGTTAAAAAAATGAAATAAAAACGCAGCTCAGTTATTTTGTTTTCAGCTGTTGGCTTTAAATAGTTCTACTTCTTACCTTGTTGCTGTATCTTCAAATATTACATTTTTAAATGTTTCGTTGTAATTAGTTATATCACGCATTAAGGAAAGCTCATGATCGTGGGTGGGGGAGTAAGCCAGTCTTAAAGCCTCACATCACCAGTGCTCAGACTCTGGTTCCCAACAAAACCCAAACAAGGTCCTCAGTTGGAAAAGGGTGGATTGTTCTCTTCAGGTCGAAGGTGAGGTTCAGTCTCAAGTGGAGGAGTTCAAGTATCTCTGAGTTTTGTTCACGAGTGAGGGAAGAATGGAGCGTGAGATTGACAAATGGATCAGTGCAGCATCTGCAGTATTGTGGACTCTGTGCTGGTCCGTTGTGGTGAAGAGGGAGCTGAGCTGTAAGTTTAAGCTCTCTGTTTACCGGTTGGTCTACGTTCCTCCCCTCACCTCTGGTCATGAACTCAGAGCAGAGACTGAAAGAATGAGATCGTGGATACAGGAGGTTGAAATGAGTTTCCTCTGCAGGGTAGCTGGACTCTCCCTTAGAGATGAGGTGAGAAGTTCAGTTATCAGGAGAAACTCCGAGTAGAACCGCTGCTCCTCCACATCCAGAGGAGCCAGTTGAGGTGGTTCGGGCATCTGGTAAGGATGCTCCCTGGGCACCTCCCCAGGGAGGTGCTTCAGGCGTGTCTGACTGGGAGGAGACCCCGGGGAAGAACCAGGCCAACTGGCCTGGGAACACCTTGGAGTCCTCCCAGAAGAGCTGGAAGAGGTGGCTGTGGAAAGAGATGTCTGGACCTCCCTGCTCAAGATGCTGCCCCCGAGACCAGAGTCCAGAACAAGAGGAAGATGATGGATGGATGGAACAAACATGGCAGCTTCTGTAAAAAGCCTCGTGTTGACTTCAGTTCACAACATCAGGTCCATTAGTGTGATATGTCTGAGATAAACTCCTCAGTTCTGATGTAAGTTCATTTAAACCGTGTTTTTTATACTAAAACACTCTTAAGCAAAAACAAAATAAGAGCTAATTGTCTTACTTGGTGAATAATAATAATAATGCTCCTCACATTTTTAGGGTATAACACAAAAGAATCATCAAATCACTAAGTTCCCCGTACGAACCACCTACTTACTGATCTTCTCTGGTGTTTACATTGATACGGACATTTAGCAAATACAAATGTAAGTTCTGATAGAGAAGCTCTCTTACGGTACAAAGGCTGTCTCTTTGGCCATCATGATCCCAGATGCATGCAACGGCCAGCAGATTTCATTGGTCAGATAGCGTTTCTGGACTCTAACGGGCTCAAAGAGTCTCCTCAGGTCCCACATCTTCACGTAGCGGTCGTCACCTGCCGTCGTCAGCAGGTGCCTGAAAGAAATACAGGTTCAAAAATTTATCAACATCACTGGTTTGAGTTAAAAAAAATAAAAACGAGGCTGAATAAGTGAAAAACGCGTAGCTTGAAGTGCAATGCATCATTCCTGCTTCCATTGATCAAGTCTGCCAGCAGCGTCTGCCGCTAATAAACGATGACACAGAAATCAATATACACTTCAACGTGCTGGATGTGAGGAATGGAAAGAAAAAAGAAAGATGATAAATTAATAATTCAGTTTGGAGAAAAAAGAAAAGGGGAAAAAGGGGCTTTCAGAAGCAGAAGTGAAAGATTTAATAAAAAGATGTTTAATTAAAAAGCATTGATCCAGACATGAAATGTATTCTGAACATTAACAGCTGAGAGATTCTAAAATATTTCTCCCTTTTGGATTAATCACTGCGAGCTATTCACTTTAAATAACTGAGGTTTTGTATTGCATGACAGAGAAAAACAGAATAACATGCTTGTTTATCTAATTAGTCCCAGTTGTGGCCAGAGATGCTGTTGAGTTGTTAATAGGAACATTAATTTATCAGAAACATTTATAGAGAACATAAACCAAATGCACGCAAACATCACGAAGACCAAGTTATATTTGCTGATCTTTAAATAAGTGTTGCCTTCAGTGAGACAAATGGGATCATTAAGACTTTTTAAGGGTCAGTGGTGTGATAAACAAGAGTAAATACACAAAGTGCACGCTAACGAGCGCTAAAGAACGACACCATATAACGCTGGAGTTAATATGATGTTTAATAATATAGAATATAATGTGCACTCATGTATGCTAATGAAAATAAAAACCCTTCCCATAGATAAAAACATATCACAAAAAAAAAAAAAAACACTTGAGGAGTGGCCCAGTTTATTTTTTATGTTTTATTTGTTCATTATCACAACGTGAAAAGTTTTTTTCAAGCACTGGCAGTGAAAAGGTGATTATGAAAATATGCGCCACTGATTTAGCTGCTGATAGTTAAAGTCTCTCATTTGGGTGCTGAGCAGACTCTAAAGAGCACAGATGTGCATATTAATGTGTTATATAAATATGCAGCAGCAGAGTAATGATTTATGCTGATATTAGGAGACTTATTGGCAGACTGTAAATACTAAAGCTTTTAAAATAAGAATACTTTTTTAGTTTAAAATAATCCAAATCTTTAATATTTTATTTTAAACAGAATGGCTGTAAGACTGAGGTGTTCAATAATTTTATTAAAAGTATCCACGATAAGGCAGAAAATCATAAATTGTCACCAATCGCTGTACAAGTCATATTTTAGGTGGGTTGTCAGGTCTCTAAGAAATAATAATGGTGATAAACTCTCACTAATGGTTTAGATCTCAACATAGACCAGATAAAATTAAACACTTAGGGGAAAAAAAAAAATCAAATTTTGATACAAAAACACCATTTGTAGCAGGATATTCCTTCAGCTCTCGTGCAGAGTTGCAGTGAGTCGTTGCAGCAAACACTAATGATGTAAACGAGCCGCTCGTCTCTCAAACAGCCGTTGGTGAACGGAGCAGAGAAACATCATGAAGGAGGAAGAGTCTGTGATGGTTAATGACATTTTAACACATGAGGGAGTTCACCTTTGCGCTTTCGGGGTGTATTCACATAAAGAAAGTAAAAATACTACATTTGTTTCATCTTCGACATCAACCTATTAGACACTAGAGCTGCGATTTCTCGCTTGAGCCCGAGCCCCCGGGATTTGCAACTGACCCACAACAAGCGACATAATGGCGCTGGAAAGTATTAAACAAAAGCTAAAAACAGGAGAACTGACTCTACAAAGTCAGCACAGTGAAACCTGCTGATGTGTCAGGTCAGGTGCACGCTCAGGTGCGACCGGCTGGTTGAAAGAGGTAAAAAAATAAAAGTCTAAAACTTCAGATGGACAACGGGATCATCAGCCGCGCGCATCCGCTGACTGGCAGGTTGAAAAAGGTTTTAAAAAAAGTCCCGTTAAGCTTCATATGGATCACCGGATCATCGGCCGCGTGCGTCAATTCCACCTGCTGTCATCTGCAGCGAAGGAAGTAGCAGCAGCTACAAAGGCTGAAGCTAGCAGCACATTCAATTAAAACAGCCTTGTTCTATATCTTTCCAAATGATTTTGTTCTAAAAATATTTTCATTCATCTGCACAATAGCCTATTTTTAGAGTTGATTTTTTTAGGCTCTTCGTTTCGTCTGTTAATATCCATTTGGTGCAACAAGACATCTTATATCTTCCTTTCTTTGAAATTTGTTTTTAAAATATCATGTCAAACTGATTTGCTTACAAAAGAAGGAAAAGCTTAATTAACAAACATGTTGTGTTATTTTTCAGGTTTGGGCATGTAATTACAGTTAATTGGTCGGGTCCAGTCAGGTTGGGCTCGGACTAAATGCCTACAGGCTCGGACACGGTCCGATTTTTTAGGCCCGAATGCAAATCTACTAGAGATTATTTTTCTGTTAGTTTGTATTTTGTTTAGGGTACGGTTTGAAGTTTACTGGACACAGATTGTATTAAAGCATATTAGGACTTTTCTTCTTCAAAGCATCTATTCAAACAGCAAGTCATCTCTTCATTTGTGTTTTCAGGTGTTGGTGAGCTTTAAATAACTTTTTCTGTTGTTGCTTGCTGGTGGGGCTCAATTAAAACTCAGTTTCTGATTGGATAATTTATTTATAGTGTTAGACTAAAATCATCTTTTGTTGGGACATGACAGAGTTTTAGTCATTTTAATTAAACCTTGAAAATTACATTGTCTCATGCAACTTTTTGATGATTTGTGACCTTACATAATCTGTTAGCAGTGGAAGTGTGTGTGAAGCTACTACCACACAACTCAGTCAGATATGGGTGGATTGTCCTCTCCGGGTTGGGAGTGAGGTTCTGCCTCAAGTGGAGGAGTTCAAGAACCTCAGGTTTATTTCACGAGTGAAGGAAGAACAGAGCGTGAGATTGACAGATGGATCAGTGCAGCCCTTGCAATATTGAGTACTCTGTGCCGGTCCGTTGTAGTGAAGAGGGAGCTGAGCTGCACTCTCTCTGGTGGTCTACGCTCCTACCCTCACCCATGGTCACAAACTTTAGGTAGTGATTGAAAATCGAGATCGTTGATGCAGTTGGCCGAAATTAGTTTTCTCTGCAGGGTAGCTGGACTATAGGGTGAGAGGTTCAGTTATCCTGGAGAGACTGAGAGTAGAACCGCTGCTCCTTCACATCCAGAGGAGCCAGTTGAGGTTCAAGTTCAAGAGTCTTTATCGTCCCAAAGGAGCAATTTGTTTCACAGTCAGTAGGCACACAAAACATCCTTACTAGACATTAAGACATTAAAATAACAGAAGTCATCACCGCTCCTTGAGAAGCCCGATCACTACAGGGATGCATGATCTGTTCATTCTACACCTGGGCAGCAGATACCTGCGTCCAGATGGAAGCAACCTGAACTCGACATGGAGTGGTGATCAGGATCTGCCAGAATCAGCCTGGCCTTGTTCACTGACCTCGTCTTGTGTAAGTCAGTGAGGTTCTGTAGAGCTATACCAGCGGTTTTCCTGTACATCCTGACAATCCCCAAGAGTTTGTTCTTATATCTGGTAAGGATGGACCCAAGGCACCTCCCTAGGAGGTTTATGAATATGTCCAATTGGGAGGAGACCCCGGGGAAAACCCAGGACAAACTGGAGAGACTACGTCTCTCAGCTGGGCTGGGAACACCTTGGAATTCACCCAGAGGAGTTGGAAGAGGTGGGAAAGAGATGTCTGGGCCTCCCTGTTTAAGCCCCCGCAACTCAACTCTGGATCAAGTGGAAGGGTGGACAGATGGATGGACTGACGGACAGACGGCTACAACCACACTTAATTTTAGCCAGTATCTGTAAAACTGACTGGCTGGCTTAGGTCAACTAGCAGTGATGTTCGTACTGAGTTAGATTGACTCTAATAGGTCATCTGCTGTAGATCTACAGTCAAAACATACTTTCTGAGAGTTTCAATAAAATCTGTTTAGCTGTTCATGAGATATTTGGCTAACAGTCACAGAAATGTACACAAACACAAGCAAAAACATTATTGCTCCATCTTTGGTGATAATAATTTGTGCAGGTTGGATAAAAATGTGCAGTTTGATTTACATGACGTTTAAAATGTGGTCGACTTGAGTTTTTTCTGTTCTGCTAAACTTTTAAGTCTTCCAGCATCCCCCGTCTGCAGGCAGACCAATGAATGTGTGTAAATAAATCAACAAGAAAGTGTAAAAAATGCTAATGCAAAAATTTGGGTTAAATCAGGAAAATCAGTTTGTAAACTGGATTTGTAAGATTCTGTAAAAGCAGCACCAGAACACAGGCAATGATGAAGAGCCCACCTGGAAGCCGGGCAGAAAGCCAGAGCTCGGACTGAGTGGTTGTGAGCAAGTATGCATCGGTAGGGCAGCAGAGTCAAAGACCTGTCCGACTCTCGAACGCGCAGCAGCGCTGACTTTGTCGACAGATCCCACAAACCGACGACACCTCAAGAGGAAAAAACACAAAAAGAAAATTTAAAGGGACAGGTAAGTATTCTCGCAATATTTCACGAGTAACAAAAAAAAAAGATTAATTTCAGATGAGCCAGAGTTGTTCCAGGAAACTCGTTTGTTTGTTCTTTCAGAGTTAGACGCAGTTAATCAAGAACATCTAGGACAAAAATCAATTCGTACCATCGTAGAATCCAATAGCCATTATGTTGTGTGGTTTTTGAGGCAGCCAATCCATAGTCAGGACCTGCCCGCTCCTTCCTTCACGAGGAGCTTTAATGGAGCCCAGCTTGAGAGTTACCACACCTCGAACCTGCAGAAAACAAGAGCAGGAAGCGATCAGGAGAAATGCAACTTCAACCGTTAATTTTCCTCTGGACCCATGTCATTTTTCATTTTATGTCCTAATAGGAGAGTAATGAGGTAATAAATTGAAAAAGATGAAATGGAAACAGGAACAAATTCATACCTTGTATATTGGTAGTTTTTCAGGGTCTTTTTCTGTTGAGACACACAAAGTCAACTTATTTATAAAACATTTTTGGTTAAAAAAAGACACAAAAAACTTTTTTTATCTGTTTAAATGTACAAAATAAACCATTATTTGAAATTACATGCACTCCCTGCAGGAGTGTTAAACTCATTTGCATAAAGAGGCCAAAACATTTTCCAACTCGTAGGCCAATTTCAGTCAACACATTAACCCAAGCTGGATGCCCGACATCTTTTCTTGGTTCCAAGTTCATAAACAGGAGTTAAATTGGTCCCATTTGATGTTTTTCTTGCTTCTACACATTAAAATCAATTATTACAGAAAAATCCAACCATTTTTTACGACATAAAAGTTAATGAATTGTCATAAAAAAACAGTATTTTATTTTATTTTTTTTAATGAGAAGAAATAAACATTACATATTTTTCAGACTATAAATTGCACCGGATTATAAGGTGCAATATCAATGACCAGGTCTGTTTCCATACATAAGGTGCACTGAATTATAAGGTGCATTAAGTGAAACCAAACAGTCGGATAAGTCAAACGTTATTCAACACAATAACCACATAATATCGGTTCGAGGTCAGTAAGCGCAACCAGAATTAATACATAAGGCGCACCTGATTATAAGGCTCACTGTTGATTTTTGAGAAAATTAAAGGATTTTAAGTGCAATTTATAGTCTGAAAAATGTGGTATTTTCATTTGAGTTATAACCTTGGGGGCCATGTAAGATGTTAACCTGGGCCAGAATTGGTGCATTATCTGCGAGCCTCGAGTTTGACACATGTGCTCCAAAGAGACTTTTATCTATTTTTATTATTTTCACATTTTCACAGCAGCAACGTCCTGATAGTGTTAAAAACACCTCTGAGGCTATAAGTCAGCTGTGGACGTCTTGATGATCGTTGCCGTGTTTAAGATGTAAAATCCAATAACAAAAGAAGGTTTCAGGCTGTTACAGGTCATACATTTTACTCCTTCAGTTCAGATTCCTGAGAGTTGAGATCAATATCTGCTGATTCACTCATCCATGATATCGATCAGCTCACCTCTGTCTAAGAAAAACACAAAGTGGTTCTTTCACAAGTCTCTCGAGTTGTGAATGTCTTTTTTTATTTTATGATGTTAATCTTTGTGTGTTAATAATAATAAAATGTCCACACATCATCCAAACCTGATATGAGTTTTACAGGATCTTGCACAGTTAGTGTAATGTTTTAAATCCTAACTAATTAGCCATTACAGTAGTCCCTCGCTACTTCGCGTTTTGTTTATCGCGGACTCGCTCTATCGCTGTTTTTCAAAACAAGACTGGACATGACACACAAGTGGCTGACTGATGGATGAGCCGCATGACCGGCATGGAATTTTTATTTAAAATTGATTATTTTAAATTATTTAGCACCTCCTGCACCTTTGTGCAGCCCCTACTGCAGGATAAACTTCCTGCTGCAGCTGATCTCCATGCAGAGCGGAGAAGTGGGCGTGGCCAAGAGCGCTTGCTGGTGGCAAAGAGCAGAGGAGGCAGAGAGCTGAATGCATGACATTCTGTCTCTTTTAGAGCATTTAGAGTTTAGAAACATTGTTTAGAATATTGCAAGCGTGTGGGAAGGGTTTAAAATGCTTTTATTTTAGTATATATATATATACAAAAATAAACTACTGCTTACTACTTGTACTACTATTCCTACTTCGCAGTTTTTCCACTCATCGCAGGGCTTCAGGGTACAGATCCACCATGATAAACGAGGGACTACTGTAATTATAAATTTAATCCAAGGCTTGATATGAAAACTGAACAAACTATTAGAGATAACAGACAATTCTTGGCCTTAAATCGAACCAAAATGAGTTAAAAATAACCTGCAACAATGCACGTGTTAAAGTGAACTGATAAAAAGCTGGTTCCTGCAATGAATAAAATGTGGTGCACATCAGAGTACTGTAACATGGCCTTCCTGTGATCCCCCAAGTAAGGCTTCGATGACTGACAGAGCGGGGATGCGAGACGAGTCAGCTAGAAGACCCAGAATTCATAGCTTCGACACCAAACACTCGCTCAGTGATGCATCTTTTTTGTCATTTCAATTATAGATCATTGTCTGATGGAGAAGGCTGCAGTAAATTATATGAGCTCACAGAATCGTCTCACATTCTTCCTTTTGTCTGTTTTCCTCCTCCCCAACGCCACCCCCCCACCCCCACCCTCCCATTCTGCAGTTTTAACAGCCTCCTCCTCTCATTCATTCTGGTGACAGGATCGACAAAAGCCATTTACAATTATCTGCTGCAAACAGCAGCGGGACGGTGGAGGCAAACGCACACACATCCTGTTTAACCCTGCTCCAACCAATTTCACCTTTAACTCTTTCAAACGATACGGAGAAATGAGATCCACCCATGGTGGTTTAAGATAGCTTATCAGTGTTTAGTTGGAGTCGGTTGGTGCTACAATGACCAGTCAAGGAATAGTTTTCATTGATCTACCTCCCGATTGAAATTTAAAAAGTATAAATATACCAAACAGTCCATATAATGTTAGCTTCAATGACAACAACCAGCAGGGGTGTTTGGTTAAAGCTGTTGTATAAAACACCTGCGATATGGTTCAGTGTGACTATAGTTGACTGCAGCTGACTTTAACGCCCACGTCATCATAAAAGGTGGAGTTTAAAGAGGCTGCAGTGAGGTCTGACAGCCTGTCAGTGGAAGTGAACTGACAACAGGGGCTTAGAGCGATTCTTTAAGAGCCAACACATCTTTATTCTTCAAAATGCTCTCAAACCACGAGTCAGTCAATCTAAATGATTAAAATGGGATTCTCAAAGATTTATTTACAAAATGTGTTTAATAGGAGAGGTGACTGTGAGCAGCAGTATGGTTTCATCTTTGCTTTGAGGACGCTGATGGAGAAGTACAGAGAGGGTCAGAAAGAAGTCCATTGTGTCTTTGTGGATTTAGAAAAAGCATCTGACAGAGTGCCGAGGGAGGAGGTGTGGTGTTACATGAGGAGATCTGGACTGGCAGAGAAGTATGTTAGACTGGTACAGGACATGTATGAGGACAGCAGGACATGTATGAGGACAGCAGGACATGTATGAGGACAGCAGGACATGTATGAGGACAGCAGGACAGTGGTGAGATGTGCTGTAGGAGTGACAGATAGCTTCAAGGTGGAGGTGGGAGTGCATCAAGGATCGGCTCTGAGCCCCTTCTTGTTTGCTCTGGTGATGGACCGACTAACAGGCAGGAATCCCCGTGGACTATGATGTTTGCAGATGATATTGTGATCTGTGGTGAGAACAGGGAACAGGTGGAAGAGAACTTGGAGAGGTGGAGGTATGCAGTTGAAAGAAGAGGAATGAAAGTCATGTAAGACAGAGTCCATGTGTGTGAATGAGAGGGAGGAGGTGGAACACTGAGGCTACAGGGAGCAGAGGTCACAAAGGTGCAGGACTTCAAGGACTCGGGGTCCACTCTCCAGGAAAATGGGGAGTGTGGTAAAGAGGTGCAGGCAGGATGGAGTGGGTATAATATGAACCTCACAGACATGTTTGTGGTTTAGGTGGGAGGACACCAGTGGACCTGGACACGTGAAATCCAAAACAAAATGCCCTGTGGAGATTCAAACCAACAAACCTCTTGTTATGAAGCAACAGCGCCAACCACTACACCACCATTCATCCTACTGCAAACATTTCTTAATAATTTTACAAGCTACAAAAAAAACATTGAAAACTAAATAAAACACACAAAAAGATTTTCAACGTTGTTAAAAATGAGGATTTTCCCTTGCCATGAATGGCGAGCAACTGTGTTAGCAAAATATTTCCTGGCCCACTGAAAGGATTTGAAGGAAACCTCAATCGGATGTACATCCACAACTGCATGAAAAAGAAACATCTATTATTAAAATACAGTATAATTTTCTTGTTTTGGTTTGAGGCATGTTGAGATGAGTTTATGGATAAACAAACAAATGTTTTTTAATAAATAAATAAATTGGTACATCTACAGCTCAGTGTAAATGAAGTCTCTCCTGGTGGTCTCTGTGTACGTTTTAGCTGTTATTTTCCGATGTGAGCACCTGGCAACCTTTGATCCATTAACTATAAGCAGAAGTGAAGCAGTGAGCTGATGAAGAAGCTCGTCGGAGACTGAGCCCAATGATCCGTGACAAGAAAATAAAATGGAAACCAGAGGCTGTGAAGCACAAGGAGAAAATGAAAAGAAACGTCAGGTTTTATTGAGCTTTTTATATCCAAACTCAGGCACTGAGTTTATCCCTTTGGTATAAAACCAAGCCACGTGGAATGGAGTGGAGTTTGGGTCCAGCCAGTTTACTGCAACTCATTCAAGGGCAAGAACATGAGCACGAGCTCTGTTTGCTGTTTCCCTTAAACTCAGATACAGGCAGTGGTGTGAAGCAAAGAATAAATAACTTGGGTTTAATAAATGAAGCTAACTGTCTCAATGTTTGTGAAGCATTCACTCTATTGTGAAACATTTTTCTTCCGTACGTTTTTCAGCATCTTTCTCGTTCCACAATTTTTGTGCTATTTCAACAAATCTTTCAAGACAATCCTGCTGTGACTTTTGGTGCTGGTGCAACTTTAGCTTTTTGAAATATTTAGCCTTTTCTGCCATTTTTGTTCTCATAGAAAATGAGCTCATTATACATCCTTTACATATTTACATGTTTACAACCTTTAACTGCTCCTGTCACATGTTTTCTGGTTCAGCTTCCTTATGCAATTAAAAAAAAAAATTCAGCTACTTTCAGCTGTTTTTTTCAGCTACTTTGTGCTACACTTTTGTGTTTCTTCTAACTTCTTTCTACTAATTTCAGCTTGTTATGCTCCTTTCAGCTTATTTATGAAAGTTTCAGCTTTTTCTGCTATTTTAGCTACTATTTAGCTGCTTTATGCTCATTTTAGTTTTTTCCAGTTAATTCAAAATTGTTTGCATTAATAAAAAAAAAAAAATCAGCCTAATTCAGCAA